AAGCTCCTCCTCAAGAAGGGAACACCCCGAGCTAAGATTCTTCCATAGGCATCCCAAACCAAGGTACTACAAGACAGGGATCTCCTGAGCTCAAGGCACTTCGGGGTGAGCTCGGGATCCTCCTAACATTTGTTCCGACAAGCCTAAGTAGGCCGCCTCGGGTAGAATAACCTCAGTATGGCACCTCTAGCTCGGTGCAAGGTAGCTCAAAGGAAGACAACTCGGCGTATCACAGGAAGATCTTCCCTGACATCCGTACCTGACAAACCTGGGGCCCTGCACCCACGTCTCTCGCCAGGCGGCGTCGTGCCTGCCAAGCCTGAGAGGTGTCCCCCGTATGACAGAGCCGTACCCTATAACAGTGACCTATGCAGCCCTGGCAAGTAACGGCTACGATAGAGAATCAGAGGTGGTTATGTCAGATTTGACAGAACACCATTATATAAGGACTCCAACCCCCTGAGAGAAAAGGTAATTGATTTCGCGCTATCTGCGCTCTTAGCTCTCCTTGTATTCTCTGTAATTCTCTCTCAGAGTTCTAAGTTAATCGTCGGAGTGTTCCCGCTGGACAAACTCCCCGAGAATCCTTCACTGTCTTCTCCATTTCAGGTGCTCTCCTTCGCCAGCTAAGAGCCAAGCCACCGTCAAATAGGAATGAGCGGATTGCGCTACATCAACTACCGTCTTGATTCATTTGAGCTATATATATATATATATATATATATATATATATATATATCATTTCATATTTCCATCATTTTGCATGTTCCACCAATTAAAATCTACGTGTGAGCTGGCTAGTCTAGGTGTGAGCAATGCGCAGGTATTAGATTTCCCATGCAATTTTGACTAATGTAGACTTAGACTATAAGTTTCTCATTGATTGAATTGAAACTTAAGGTCCTTGTAATATACGTCCTGCCAAAAGATGATAAAAAATAGAAGTACGAAGTTTTTTAATTTTATGGCAAACTATTATAACTCAACTCTTTTTTAAGATTTTTTGGCCGATTCTCCCTTTATTAATTCATCCAATTCTACATGCATCATGCGAAGAAAAGAAGTCTCCACGAGGCCATAAGACCATGACATTGTTAAAAATAATTGTTGACTTGACTTGAATAGTTCATGTAAAATAAAATAAGTAGAAAAAATCTTTCATCTTTCGTTTTATTTTTTATTTTTTGTTTTTCGTTGTAAACTTCTTGGATGTTGGGACTAGTATGGAACGTAACAGTTCCTTCCAAGAAATTTTCTCATTGTAAGGAGTCAGTCAAAGAGGGCAAAGTCTGTTATTTTATTTCCCGAGCATATTTAATTTGAAGATAAAATCTTTTTCTTATATCTTAACATATTTCTGAAAGAAAAAGTTATTGAAGTAACGTTAAGTTTTTAACAACCCCCTCCCCAATATGCCCTGAAGCAATGTAATGTATTACTTTTTTATTCTCTTTTGATCAGCATAAATATAGTCAATCCCTAAGCATGACCCAATAGTATTTCAACTTCAGTATTTGCGGTACCTGAAACATTTTGTGTATAAATGTACGAAGTTGGGTAGATTGAAGTCAAGAGAAATCGAGTTGATTGAAATATGGGTCTTAGTAATAGTAGTTCTACTTCTGGTGGTGGTGGTGGTTGTAGCACCACCAGCACCAGTTCCCTTCAACTACTTTGTCTTGTTTTATTTTCTGGGATTTTGTATTTAGAGACCATAAAGCCCTGTTTTTCTAGCCAAGATGTCAACCTGGGCTGCATAGAACTGGAAAGGATGGCACTCCTCAAGTTGAAACACGGTCTCGTAGATCATTCGGCCCGACTCTCTTCTTGGGTCGGTGAAGATTGTTGTAGTTGGGGAGGTGTCCGTTGTAGCTACAAGACCGGGCATGTGGTTCAGCTCAATCTCCGCAACACTTTTCAACTTCCTGATATTCCTCCTGATGAAGATGATGATCAGTTGGCAGTTTATGAAAGGTCAGCATTAGGCGGTGAGATAAATCCTTCGTTGCTCAATTTGGAATTCTTGACTTACATGGATTTCAGTAACAACAACTTTAGTAGGATTCCCATCCCCAGTTTCATCGGATCGCTCAAGAAGTTGAGGTATCTTAACCTCTCTCGTTCCTCATTTGGAGGAACAATTCCTCCTCAACTTGGAAACCTTTCCAGTTTGCGTCATCTAGACCTTTCTGGTAATTATGAATTGAATGTGGACAACCTTGAGTGGTTACCTGGTCTCTCTTCCTTGGCGTATCTTCATATGGGATATATGAATATGAGAGCAGCAGGAAAATACTGGCTACAATCAATTAATATGCTTCCTTCCCTTCTTGAGTTGCACTTGAGTTCTTGTGAACTTCACTATCCTCTACTCCCTCATTCTATTAATTTAACATCTCTTTCAATTCTTGACCTCTCTACAAACTCCTTGAACACTTCAGTACTTATCTGGTTTCTTAATATTAGCAGCCTTTCTAACCTTTACTTCCGCTCCAATTATCCCCAATATCATAATTTGTCAAACAACCTAGACATTGGAGGTGGAGCATCAATATCATGGGGATGCCATTTGCAGAGTTTAGATCTATCAGAAAGCGGAATTGGTGGTGAGGTAACCAAACTTGTAGACAGTTTGTCAAGATGCAATAATAGAAGGATAAAGACAATAAACTTGGGCTATAATCAATTTAGTGGTCGTTTGCCAGCATCCATTTTCAATCTTTCTTCTTTGGAAGAACTAGATCTTTCTGGAAATCTATTTTACGGGAATTTGCCTACATCCGTTGGAAATTTATCATGCTTGAAAAAACTAGATCTTTCCTATAATCAAATGAATGGAACCATTCCAGTAAATGTTGGAGAGCTTTCAGATTTAGTTTTCTTGGATCTTTGTGAAAATTCTTGGAATGGTGTGATTTCAAAATTTCATCTTATGAACCTTACAAGATTAGAAACTTTTCTCATTTCATCATCTTCAGTCAAATCCCTGGTTTTTAAAGTCACATACGATTGGGTTCCTCCTTTCAGTCTCAAGCTTTTGGATTTCAGTGACTTACAACTGGATCCTAGGTTTCCTACATGGCTCCAAACCCAAAAGCAACTTTCTCTGCTTTCATTGAGAAATGTTGGTATTTCAGACACCATACCCCATTGGTTTTGGGAGTTATTCTCAAACCGTCAGATAATCTTAGATCTCTCTAATAATCATTTAACTGGAAAACTGCCAACCCCGTTAAGGCTTCATTTAGAATCTTCTATTAATTTGAGTTTCAACTGCTTAGAGGGCCCAATCCAACCTTTGTCTGCTAATTTGACTGCACTATACCTTTCCAGTAATTTTTTTTCTGGAGCTATCCCAACCGACATTGGTAACTTAATGCCGTTGTTGTATGTGTTAGATCTTTCATGGAACCGGTTAGGTGGTAGCATTCCCCCTTCCATTACTAAAATGAAGCAATTAGAAACTCTAATCCTCTCAAATAATCTTTTATCTGGAGAACTCCCTAGGGATTGGAAGGATTTACAGAAATTGCAGGTTTTAGACCTAGCAAATAATAGTCTAACTGGTATGGTTCCTAGTTCATTTAGCCTTTTGATCAATCTTGAGTGGTTAGTACTGAGCAACAATAGCTTCCATGGGGAACTGCCATCATTAAGAAGTTGCAAGGGGTTGCTTGGCCTCAATCTTGGTGAGAACCGATTTTATGGAGAATTTCTAACATGGATAGGAGAAACCAGTTTTGACTTGATGTTTCTACGTTTGCGATCAAACTCGTTCAGTGGAAATATTCCTGAACAATTGTGTGGTTTTACTTGTCTTCATTTCTTGGACCTCGCTCGTAATAATCTATCGGGATTTATTCCATCATGCTTTGGCAACTTGAGTGCCTTTGTTGATTTAAACTCCTACATGTGTGCTTCTGGTTCATCATATCGCCAATCCATGATGGTAGTCACAAAGGGAAAAGAATTACAGTATACAGGAGATGGGTTTATGGATGGAAATCTTGACTACATCAAGAGCATTGACCTCTCGAGCAATAATCTTTCAGGAAATGTTCCAGATGAAATTACAAACCTCTTAGGACTGCAAACCTTAAATTTATCCATGAATCATCTCACTGGAAAGATCCCAGAAAAAATTGGTAACCTGAAACGGTTAGAAACTCTTGACCTCTCAAGTAACCATCTTTCAGGTAACATTCCCCAAAGCTTGTCTTCCTTGTCTTTCCTGAGTCACTTAAACCTGTCCTATAACAACCTTTCAGGGAGAATCCCATCAGGCAACCAGCTCCAGACACTCGATGATTCATCCATTTATACAGGTAATCCCTATCTTTGTGGGTTGCCACTTTCAAAAAACTGTGAGAATGGCAAAACATCTCAAAGTCCAGCGTCCCGAGATGGTGATAACGGAGACAATGAAACGTCTGAATCTAAGATGCAATGGTTTTATATTAGCATGGCCCCAGGATTCGTGGTGGGTTTCTGGTTAGTTTGTGGCAGTTTATTGTTAAAGCGGTCATGGAGGCTTGCTTTTTTTCAATTATTGGGTAATCTGAAGGATTGGATTCTCCTGAAAATTGAATTAAGTATTGCTCGTTTAAGTAAGAGATAGATGTTGGAAACACCCAGGTTTCTGAGTGAGAGATGTACATCAAATTGGTTCGATGTCTCGGAGCATTTTAATATTGTATGTTGTTATCTACATGAATTGATTCCAAGGAAATAAAGCATTACCAGCAATCTTTTAATTTTAATATTTCCACTGAAACAACAGTGCTGCTTCTGGAATTGGAATTGTTGTGCGAGATGATACTGGCGCATTCATTGTTGGAAGAGCGTTGACTTCGTCTTGCTCTTCCGCTAAAGAGTTTGAGGCGTTGGAAGTGCTAGAAGGACTCTGCATGTAAAAACTGTAATATTAATAGGTAGACTTCCGAGTTTAACTGGCTTGTTAACCAGAGACTTATGACCATATGTACATGAACCACAGCAGCTCCCTTCATCCGGGATTTTATGAGTGCAGTTACATGATACACCAACGAATGCAGCAATATCCGGTTGAACCCGTTGAGAGATTAATGGTAGATTTAATTAATGAATAAAATAGAGGATAAGGTCTCATGGTATCCGATTTGAAAGAATGGTAGGATCCATCTAATGGACGCCATAAAGGTTGCGGAATGGGTGGGCGAATTTCAAAAATTTCTTACATTTTCCCAACTGGGAATCATATTCCCTAAATTTAGAATACAATATTCAAGGATC